GCCATGGCGTCCTGCACAGAGACAGAGACGGTCGGTTTCGGAGAAGAACAAGGAGACTCCCCGTACCCAGAGGCGGCACCCCCAGTCCTAGACTCAGCCGTACCAGGAGACCGGCTGGCTTCTAAATTATGGTGTGTCGTGTGTGTAATGGGTGAGGTCATTATTTTAAGGTATTTACAGCCAAAAGATTCAAAAATGAACTCCGAAAAAAGGGCAAGGAACCAAGACGTTACCTTGAAATTGAGTAAGAAGTTGAGAGACGGTTGTTGACCAAAGATACCCCAAACGGTATCACTTTGAGCAAACTGCAAATTGGCAAAAGAAGGGAAATTAATCACCAATGTTGCACAAAGATACCTCAGGCGGTGAAAGCCGGATGGGGGAGAATGACGAGCAAATGATCTGGGATTTTTATCAGATCAGGCAAAGACCCCCCAGTCGGCATAAACCGGCTGAGTTTCGCAAAAAGCTCAGCTAAAGCCAATACAGTCGGCTGAAGGGCCGGCTGTACACTTGTTAAAGTGAAGACTGTTTTGGTGCCCCCCAAGCGGCGAAAACCGAATAGGGGCCACAACAGTTTAGAAGGGGATTGCTTGCTCACCCCCCAGACGGTGTGAGACTGGCAGGGTAGGCAGCAAGGCAGGCAAAAAGAAAATTTGAACGAAGATACCCCAGACGGTTTTTCAGCGGCTGAGGGTCTATTGAATGCAACTCACCAATGAGATTGCTTGAAGATACCCCAGACGGTTTTAACCGTCTGAGGGTCTATTGAATGCAACTCACCAATGAGATTGCTTGAAGATACCCCAGACGGTTTTCACCGGCTGAGGGTCTATTGAATGCAACTCACCAATGATATTGCTTGAAGATACCCCAGACGGTTTTCACCGGCTGAGGGTCTATTGACTGCAACTCACCAATGAGATTGCTTGAAGATACCCCAGACGGTTTTCACCGGCTGAGGGTCTATTGAATGCAACTCACCAATAAGATTGCTTGAAGATACCCCAGACGGTTTTCACCGGCTGAGGGTCTATTGACTGCAACTCCAATGAGATTGCTTGTTTGAAGCCCCAGACGGTTTGAACCGACTGAGGGTCTATTGAATGCACATTCAATAAGTGCCAGAAGATAACTCAGGCGGACTACACCGGCTGAGGTTTTCAATAGACGCAATTTATACAAAATTGCCTAAAAAGCTCCACACGGCAAATGCCGGTTGCAGCATAATCAAACATTCAATCAGCGACCGACTGGGTCAGAAGGATACCTTAGTGAGGCGGAATGAGAAACTCAGGCGGTATCCAGAAGAGTGACTGTTTGTGCAAATAAGCTGGCGGGGTCCAGAGCTCTCGCTTTTTCTCAAGAAATTTCTCTCAAAAATGGCAAAGTGAGAAATGAAGGGAGGGGGATACTTATTTATAGGGGTTCCAGAAGGCGAACCGTCACCTTCCCCTTCAGTTTGAAATTTGAAAAGAGAGAGGGAAGGAGGCGAATCGCCCCTCTTTCTGCTTGGATGGCGTGTGTCACAGGTGCCATGTGGCATAGCCACGTCAGCACCCGTGAGGGGCAAATGTTTAGGGTAAAAGTTACCCTGGACACGTGGCCCTATGGGGATCTGACACGTGTCATCCCCCCATTGCACCATGGGCATCCAACCAATGGATGCCACGTGGCATCGTACCCCCAATGGGGGAGCAGGCCCATCCGCTATAAATAGAGGAATCTACCTCATTTATTGACATTCAGAAATACATCCACAAAACCCAAGCAATATTAATTGCGGAATCTCCCGGAATCCGAGAGAATTAATTTACCTTCTGCACGTAATTTCATCCGAAGTTGTTCTAACTTGACCGTCGGAGGCGAAACTCCACCCAACCGGAGTTTCGTGGTTTTGCAGGTACAGAAGTCAGGCGTACATTCCCGGTGCTGTAACTCTCCCGTGGGACACCTCAAAAACCCCCGAAACAATAATTATTGGTGTTGTTTCTCGAGTGATTTTTTGTCACTTTTAACTTATATGCTAGCCCCCAAATTTTTGCAATATTTTTTTTTTTTTTTTTTTTTTTTTTTGTAAAAAACAATTTTGAGATGCATGTCTATTACATAGTTGAATTATTTAATAAGGTTATTATAGTTATAAATATTTACTGAATAATTTTTAGAGACCTTATTGCCTTAAAAATTGTTATATACATCTGGGTATACGGTGCACCCAGTATTTGCTGAATAATTTTGAGACCTTATTGCCTTAGAAATTGTTATATAGATCCGGTGTACGGTGCACCCAAGGGTTTTGTTTGCTCTTTTCGATGATTATTGGCTCTATTGCTCATTTTATCATCAAATGAACATACAAATATTCTTGGGTGCAATTTTAACTAAGAGATATCTAAAGTACTCTAATTTCCTCGACTATAATGTTAAAAATTGCGACTCTCCTATCTGGAAAGACATCCTCCAAGGGAGGGAAATCTTAAAAACAGGCATCACCAACCACATTGAAGATGGGGAAGATACCTCTAGTTGGCTCCACAAATGGATTGGAGACAAACCTCTATATCTCCATGAAAATATCAAATTTCCAGATAGTAAAGGACATTGGAGAGTCTCTAACATTATCATTAGGAACAATTAATGGTTTACTACACCTATTTCTCATCTCCATCCCCCTAATATTCTTCTTGATATCGAGGCTACTCCTTTTCCTTCTTTTCACTCTTCCAAGGATAAACTGAGATGGTTTCTCCATTCCAGTGGCTCCTTCACCCTAAAATCTGCATACTTAAACTCTATTTCCCCTACTATTTCACCCAATCCCTTCTTAGCTAACTTTCCAAGGAAACAAATGTGGAAGATTCAAGTCCCTTTCAAATATAGAATGCTTTTATGGAACCTAATTAGAGGAATTCTTCCTGTGGGATGTGTCTTATCCTCTAAAATTCCTTTCTTTGACCCCATGTGCACTAGATGCAATGGCTCCAATGAAGATAACCTCCATCTCTTTAGAGATTGCCCCAATAGCCTTGCCTTTTGGGCATTAATTTTCGAACATTTTCCTACTGCTGATTTTAATTTGGATATGTTTTACACTAAAAATTTCGAAAATTGGATTCACTTGAACTTTAATCATGAGATTCATGACAAATCTTGGAGAGTTCTTTTTTGTGTTGCTGTGTGGCACCTATGGTCTATTAGAAATTATGTGATTTTCAATCAAGCTAAGGACTCCATCTCCACCTGTTTTAACAAATTTTACTCGGATTATTCTTTCACTTTGAAGTTGTCTCAGGTTCGAATGGATGTTGCTTCCTCGAGAACATCAGTTTCTGCACGAGTTTGGTCGCCTCCGCAAAGAGGCTTTTACAAACTTAACATAGATGGCTCTTGGATAAGTTTGGGTGATGCAGGTGCTGGTGGTATCATCCGCTGTAATAAGGGAAAGTGGCACATCGGCTTCTCTATGCAAATCAAGACCCTAGAGCCGGCTTCAGCTGAGTTGCTTGCCATTATGGAAGGCCTTAATACGGCTTGGGAGAGAGGAACCGGGTTCTTGGAGCTGGAAACCGATGCCCAAGCTCTAACTTACATGATTCAAAATCCTTTATATTACAATCATCACCTTCTATCCAACATTATCAGGGATGTTTCTGAACTCCTTCAAAAGGATTGGCAAGTCACGGTCCTCCGTGTCAAGAGGATTGCTAACAAGATAGCCCACGGCTTAGCTGACATTGGTAGAAACTCACAGCAGGACGACCTGGTCTTCCACTTCTTCTCCCCTCCTGGTCTAACGGCTTCCTACACCAAGGAACTAGCCTATGATATTGCTATATATATATATATATATATATATATTATATATATATATATATGTGTGTATGATCATGTGAGAACTCATGGCTTAGGTGAGAACCATTTTAAAATGAGAACTCATCTAACACCATTCATTTTTATTAGATGAATGGTTCAGATTTATTGTTTCATTAGTGGGAATTCACGTGGGCCACCTTCATTAATTGTAATGATTGTTTGTATTTTTTTTTTTAATTTTTGTGCATTGGGATACAAAATCTGTCAAAAGTTGTCATTATTACATATTTTTTATTATTTATTGCATTGAAACACAAAATGTAGTTGAAGTGTATGTCGTAAATGATGTTTATAATATTTTGTGACTCGTTTTGAAGCCTCTTACATTGTATTACATCAAGTTAGAGGCCAATAATAGAGGAATGCACTAACACTTTATTACAGCTTTATCTGTTCCCTTTTCTTTAGAAGGCACCTCAGTTGAGTTGCATTCCATATTTCCATCTATTAAAAATAGAAGTTGGAAAACAAACTATAAGAGTAGGTGAGGTCACTCCTTAGTAAATGAGGTGTGAATGACCACTTAGAACTAATTGTTTCACAGCATCACTTCAAGAAAGCTTTATAAATTTCGTGTGTTGCAGGTTTTGCTTTAGTCTTCAATAGATATGGTTGAAATAGTAGCTGATGTATTTTCATTTGCACTCAGAACTTATGAGGAAATTTAATTAACAACTTCGCCCTCGGTCCTATTAGCCAAACTAAAAAAAAACGTACATGGGAAATTCCATACTATATTGTTATGTGACAAGATTGTTAGTTATCATCTAAGATACTTGAAATATAATATTATATTTTTTTTAGAACACAATTTAAAATGTGTTCACAAGACTATTAAAATTTAATTGCACTAGTTATAAAAATGTAGTATTCGTTGGAAAGCAACTAATAATAATTTATGCATTTGGAAAATGCACATAACCCACCACCTTTGACATGCCACAAGAGGGAGCACAGTAACTATAAAAAAGTGAATAAAACCACTTGGAAGGTGGGAGCAATATTTTGTACAATTTTATTGTTTCATCAATGGATAATACAATATTATGTGACTATTTCAAGGGTAACATTGGATATTGACTTTGTTTAGAAATGGATATGCTTTATGTGAACTAAAGCAATAACGAAAACTACAATCAAGGCTTAATTAAGCTCAAAGCCGATTAAAACGTATGTGAACAAGGTTTTAGAGATGGCAACTATCAACATTTTCTACAAAAGCAAGTTATACACATTGCAAACTCAGTTAAAACGTAGTACTCTACACAAAAAGCAATGTTGTAAGAATCTTACTCATTACACAAGGATAGCAATTCTAAAGCTCCGGACCTAAAAATGTCCATGATCTGTTTTTTCACTACTTCGTTGATCGATCAGTAAGTGGCTGATTAACACTAATCATAGTTCTAAATATGTACTTCGTAGATTCTATTAGTGAAGAATAACCTTCACAGGAATGGTCCGATACATCTAATGAGTTGCAAATTACAACCCGTCAGGCGCAAGTGTAACCAGGAATGTAAAAGCCTAGCTGTCTGCTCCCTCAAGAAGAGCAAGCAGGGCAAGGAAGAGGTTGACAATGTCAAGATAAAGGGTAACTGCAGCAGGAATGTACTCATCGTAGCTGTAACGTTTGATCAAGTTGTCTGTATCATATACAATGTATGCAGAGAACAATATCGCAGCTATGCACCCATAGATCATCAAAGAGAGCTTTCCCAGGGGAATGAAAATCTTTACATCAGAAAAAGGATGCTAAAGTGAGACTTTGTTGATTTTAAAACAGAGTTTCAAGAAAAGATCAATATTCATATATCCTGCATACCTGGATTAGCATAAAAACCATCAGCACCATCATGCCAGCAAACAGGAAAGGGCCTAGAAAGCTGAAGTCTTTGCCTCTTTTCGCTGCCCAGAATGTGTATAGGGTAAGGCTGACCACCACTACACATGTTAAAATCAAAGCCTCCAGAACAATTTTCCCTGTCGAAACAAGAGATAATAAGATTTAAGCAAACTCAAAAGCTTTGCCACCTGAGTTAACTACAATGCCTCCACTAAAAGAGTAATACGGAATTATCCAGGACTTTTTGTCATTGATCATAGAAAGCATTTGAATTGGTCTGACCCAGTTTTAATGGGGAAATGACCATATAGACAAATGGCCCATAGCACCTTAACCATGCACAACAGCAAATTGTAGAAATCAATGCTTAACAAGACATCTATAGATGGGTGTCCATAAAAATGAAGAGGTGAAATAGATATAGCAAAATTCATAAAAAAAATTTTAGTACATCAAAAACTGCCCCTGTATAGAAATCTATTGAAAACTTGAAACAAGTCCTAAAAATCACAACCAGGATGAACTAAAAAAAAATGATTGCCACTTCTCATTCGCAATTTGGTTTAGTCAAGTACATAGAACAACATGATGAACCACAAAATGCTCGACTATCCAAAAGGGGAAAGCCGGTGTAATGCAAATATTCTGACTATCATTCATAGATATTAGACAAATACTTATATGATCTATTTAATCCGTTGGATCAAAATGATGTAAGAAGAATGCACCAATCCATGACACAATGCTTTGTTGCCCAAATAACTTATTAATAGATAATCCTATAACATGAATCCTTCCATTCTATAGCAATACAATTTTAACACATTTAAGAGCACTAATAATTTCTAAATACATACATATAAGTTGCAATATTGGCCATTTCACATTCGGCACACCAAACACCTGGCCTTTACAAGTTTAAAACACACAACCGGACACGAAATATCAAAACGTTTATCTTATGTTAATTAAGCTTATAAAGTATGGGGTATTACACCATTTAACAAAAAGAATCATCCAAAATTTATCAAAAAAATATCAACATAACAAATTTTTTTTTTTTTTTTGGTAAATAGAAATTTTATTACCAAAAAAGAGAGTACAACTTACAAAAGGAGCTGTACTAGCAATAACACCCAAACTACACAAGACCCGTAGGTCAAACCACCCCAAAAACAGTTCAAGGATCTAGAATAGCCACCTTCTAGGAAGGGTTCTAAACAGAGTCAAGAACAAACTGAGCCCAAGCACCCGAGCACCTTCTAGGAAGGGTATCAGGAACAAGGACCAGAGAATAACCAACACAACCAAACAAAACCAAAACAGCTATTACAAGAAAAACTATTACAAAAAGGAACGCAAAAAACAGAAACACCAACTCAAAAAAGACAGCAGCAGCTACAGTAACAAGCAGAACCAGCACCAGCAATCAGAAACAGTAGCAGCAGCTAGGAACAGGAACTTAAATTTATAATAATTAGCTTATAAATTTATAATAATATAATGTTACCTTTAACAAAAGCGCAACTCATTCCAACGCCAAAAGCAATTGCAACAGTAAACAATCCAAGAAGGATGAAATTAATAGGATGACGCTTCATATAAGCGTACAAAGGACACATGACTGCAAAACCCACAAATATACAAACATCAATATAACAAAAATTCATAAAATCAAACATAATAACAATAAATTAACCACCCAAACAAATCCAAAATCAATACAAAATTAGAAATGAAAATCAATTCATACTTATAAGAGGAGAAATGAGGATGACAATGTAAATGCCGAGACCAGCACGAGTAGACACCAAATAGCGCGAAATTGGTGGAACAAAGACGACGACGGCGGCGACAGCGGCGGTCAGAATCATTTGCATGGTGATGATTACGTACACTTTTCGGATGAAGGCCCATCGGAATTGTACATCTTCCACCATGTTTGGGTAGAGTTGCCCTGCTTCAATATCGCCTCGCCCTTTTCCTAGAACCGCCATTTTTGGATATCTCAAGAAGATGATCACAGAAATGGGTTTTTGATTTTGATTTTTTTATGGGAATTTGAGGAGAATTTGGGGGAATTTCGAGAATGATTGTCGAGTTTTTTGGGGTTCTTAAAAATTCTTGGAAAGATTTGGGGTGCAATTGGATGATGAGATCTAGGAGAATTTTTTTGGGGGGTGGTTTTTTGGGATTGTAATGTGTGATTTGTGGAGATTTTTTATTAACAGCAAAGCATGGTTATTTTGGGATGTGAATGAATTTTACGCGGAATGTTTAATTTTACGTGTGAGTGTTGTCATAAATGTGTGTATTTCAATTCATGATTATTAAATCATCAAGTAATCAATAATAGTAATTAAGAAACAAATCTTATATCCTCTGTCCCTATTATTTACTTCATTTGACTTTTAACGGTCTTTAAAACCAGTTTTAAAATAATGCATGATCTGTGCACCATGCGCACGGTGCACCCGATTAAACAAAAAAAAGGTGGAAGGAACATTTAGATGTTTGAAAAAGAACAAAGAACATGCATTACTAAATAACATAAAGACATTACAAAAACAACGTGATAAAAACTTTATTAAAATTTCATGAAAGATTACACATTAACGGAAAAAATCTTTACCAAAAATATCACTTCCCCAACAATAGTTTTCTCTCTATCTAAAAATTCAATTTTCCACAATAATTTTATTTTTAGCTCTCTAAATTATTTCCAACTAAAAGTAATTCAAGATTTCATTTCAAATTAAATTTCAAAATTCAAAATTCAAAATAACATACGTTAAAAGAACATAAATTATAATGTAAAGAACATATAATTTATACCCAAAGAACACACTGATCAAACTCAAAGAACATACGATAATAAAAAAAAATTAAATATGATATATGAGAATAAAAATAAATTAAATAAATAAATTAAAAAAAAAGAATTTGTGCGTCACTCATTACCTCAAAGAATATACGAGCCAAATTCAAATAACATACTTTGTATTATTGAAATCCAAAAAACATGTTTAATCAACATATGTTAAAAACATAAGTATAAAAGAACATATTATCAAACATATATAGGTATGTTCTTTGTCAAACACTATTCTTTGTCAAACACAGTATATTCTTTGTCAAACAGCAGTATGTTCTTTCCGCCTTTCGGGTGCACCAAATGCATGGTGCATGTAGAATTGTATAATTCTCATTAAACGGCAACATGCCTACTATACAAATATATATAGGTTACCAAATAACCTATCGTACATAAATACATCATACTCAAAATATATATACGGAATATATTGTCTAACACACCCCCTCGGTTGGAGCAGGAGGAGGATGGATGGTCAAACTGTGACGAAAATCCACAAACAAAGGTGTCAGAAGACCCTTTGTGAAAATGTCCGCATACTGAAACGCGGAAGGAACATGTAGAACACGTACATCACCAAGAGAAACCTTCTCGCGGACAAAATGAATATACATCTCAATATGTTTTAGTCCGTTGATGATGAACCGGATTATGGGACATGTAAACAGCACTGATATTGTCACAAAGGGAGAGGGAGAAGAGAAGAAAACCGGCGAAGAGAAGAAAACCGGCGCCGAAACAGTCACCGGAGAGGGAGAACGGAGAGGATCGTGGAGAAGAGTGGGCTAGGGTTTAGGCCTGATACCATGTAGAATTGTATAATTCTCATTAAACGGCAACATGCCTACTATACAAATATATATAGGTTACCAAATAACCTATCGTACATAAATACATCATACTCAAAATATACATACGGAATATATTGTCTAACAGTGCACTCAGGTGTACTATACTATTTTCAGTTTTTAAATAGTTTTATCTTCATTTTTATACGCATAAAAATTATAAAAATAAATACTAAAATTATGTACAATGAGACAAATTCAACTAAGATCCCACACGATTAATTCCTATGTTTCAGAATAATTGGCATAGTCAAACTTTATACACATACTGATACACTAGTTTGACCTTATTTTTACATACTCAATTAAATATTAAAGAAAGTTATACTCTCTCTCTATTTTATTACTTGGTTGGAGTTAAAGTACTCCCTCCGTTTCTGAAAGATGTTCCAATTTTCGTAAATCGATCCAAGTTTTTACCTATCTTTAACCGCTAATATCATATCATTAATCTCACAATAGCAAAAAATTATAAAAGTTGGATATTAATAATGTACTCATCAAGACAAATCAAACTAGATCTCACATGACTATATTTGTGCTTATAGATTTACAGAAAATTACAAGATTCTCTCTTATTTTTTAAAAGTCAAAGATTTCAAACAAAAACAACATTGTAGAACGGAGGGAGTACTATTTTATGATGGAAGTGTGGTTGGTTAAAAAATAAAACAAAAAATTTGGAAAAAAAAAAAAAAAGTGAGTATAAGTGGAGAGGAGAGAGAATATGAAAAATATTAAAATATAATATGTGGGGACCACTAGTGTGAAGGAATATGGTAAAATATTGTTAAAAGTTCCAAAAAATAAGTACATAGAGAAAGTAATAAAATAAGGTTGTAAAAGAAAACTGGAGCAAGTAATAAAATACAGACAGAGTAAAAAAAATTATATTATGAAACTTTATATGAATACCTATTTAACAACAAATTTTATGATAAAATATGGGATTACTATGTTACTCATAATAAACAAAAAGAAAAAAAAAATAATAACTATAGTCAATATTAAGATATGAATAGTGAAGAAAAATCCAACGTGTCAGTTATTCTAAGACAGATGGAGTATGTTATTTCTTATAGATCAAGAGTATTTTACAGTCTAATGTTTTAAATTGACCCATATTTTTGCAATGGGGCAAAAAATTAGGGACAAAGAAAGTATGTAGTTTTCCATAAATTATTTTTATCTCACTCTGTTTCAAAATAAATGCCCTAACTTTTGCATTATTTAAATACACTACAATGACATTTGTTTATGATTTATATATAGGGGGATTAAATAAGTTATCTAGTATTTGTTAGGATTCTTTTAATGTATAATTTTTGAACATATATTTTTAATAATTTATATGTTTTTTCACTCCATTATAATTGGTACAGTCAAACATAGAACACATGTCAATGAGTTTAACCATTAAAATTAAAATTCATAGATAAATATTAATATTAATATTAATATTAATTGAAAAAAAAATGTGTCTTATGTGCGCTTAGTCATACCATGTGGCAGCTTGTAAAAGAACAAAGTAGACCCTATAAGTCAATGGCGGATCTTGGTCGGAAATATTAAAGGGCCCGGGATTTGAGCATGTAACCTCTCGCTCAAAACTAATCACTATGTCCCAAAATTTTTTATAAGTAAAATAAGGTTACTTAAGTTCAATAACTAATAAGTCAAAATAATTTACCAGGGGCCAAGCCTCGAATAGCCCTGGTGGTTGTAATACCCTGTATTTTTATACTTATTTTAATTTAAATCATTATTTTATGAAGTATTTAAATAATTTGAAATGAATTATTTATGGTATTTTATTAGTTTAAAAAGAATTATTTTAATTAAAGGTCCATTTTTATTTATTTAATTATTTTGAAAATATTTTTTTTATTATTTAGAAACTTTGGGGCATATTATTTTATAAAAGGAAATTTAAAGTCAATGGTATTTAAAGAAAGTCAAAGGACTAGTTTGAATAGGAGAAGGGATCACTAAGGGTAGAAAGCGAATTTAACCTTAGGAGGGTTTTAGAGAAGGGATATAAATACTCATCTTATGAGCAAGTTAGATCTTGACCAAGGTGGAGAATACCCAAAGGTAAACTCTCTCTCCCCTCTTATTTTCTCTCTCCTTTAATTTTCCCCCTCTCCTTTTTAATTTTCACACACCACCACACACACCACCACGGTGGCCGGCTGCCACCACCACCACAGCCGGCCGCCATCACCAGCACAGGGCCAGCAGTAGCAGCAGCCGTGGGAGGTGGCACCAGCCACCCTCCCTTTCCCCCTTGTGCATGCGTGTATTTCTTTAAAAAAAAAAATCTTCTTTTGTTTTTAAATTATTCTAGCTTTGATTCAATTATTATTTTTGGGTTTTGTGATGAGGATGTTTGATTATAATTATTGTGTATATAATTTTCAGATTTGGTTTTTGAATCAAAAATCCCCAAATTGAAAACCCTAGGTTTCTAAATTAATGTATGTTGATGGAAATTGATTGTAGGTGATTGAAACTATTGAATTAGATGTTTTTAAACATAATTACAGCAATTTTACATGTTTTTATAAAGCTTGAATTTTTATATTAAGGTTAGAATTATGTTTCTTGAAGTGATTTTTAATTACCCATTAATTGGGAATAAAAGTAAGGGGTTTTAAACTAGTTTTCAGATTGTTTTAGAGGGTTTATGAGTGATTTAAAGATTGTATATATTGTTGGAAATTTATATTGAATAGGTATTAATGTCTCTTTGTAATTTTGGGTTGTAGGATATTTCCAAGTGAGTGATTTTGTGTAGTCGTGGCGATTTTGAGATCATATTCAAAGTACGTTCACGTACTCGGTAATTATGTAAGTGTTTAGAAGCATGCTAGGCTTTGTTTAATTAATTCCAAGGTAGTATCATGATAGGTATTGCTTGAATGATTTATTATGATTGATTGTGTTATGGTTAAGGTCGTCACCAAGTCTAAAAATATGTAAACAATGTAAAGTAAAAGAGATTACACACCAAAACACTTAGAACGTATATACCTCGAGTATGAACATATGGGGGGAGTTATGGGGTTTTATATTTAACTATGACTTCTACTGGAAGTACAAGACTCTGTATTTTCCTTTTTATTATTTATCATGCACAGGACGTCCGGTCACTTCATGAGGCATTTGCCTACCCGGTTAGATCACGGTGTAGTACCTCAATTTATTTGGGGTAGGGATTTGGTGAGAAATCCGTTCGATGCGTAATCAAATTAAATAAGCACTTTAGTGGTCTATTTATTTGTTAGTTGTGTCGTGTGCTCGAAAACAGGTGCAACAAGGTCAGTTGTCTGTTGATAGGATTAAAGCATGTTAGTGTGTATTGTTTACGCTTATGTACTCAGCATTGCTGATTGTGTTTTGTATGTTTGTTTGGCCTTGTCTTTATCTTGGCCCTACGATGACCCATTTCTAGTGGCGAGTAATGGGGACAAAGTAAAGAGGAGTTTTTCAGGTGTGGAAGCATATTCATGATGGCCATGAGTGAAGAGCAAATCATATTTAGTTTTCATAAGAATATAATGTGGTTTATTGCTTTAATTATTATATATTTTGCTTGTGAGACTAACGCAAAGGTTTTCGAATATTTTATCTCGGTTTATTAAGGGCCTACAATGGTTCCAAGTTGTAGGTTGACTTTGTTTGACTTTACTTTCATTTGGTTTGACTTTTTAAGTTGACTTGTTTTGAATGGTTTTAAAGAGAGTCTTTTTCTTTGTGTCTTTGATATTTGCCTTAGCTGTTTTCACGGTGGCGATAATGTCTTAGAATTTCCTATTTCGTATTTCAAAAAGAGCAAAACAGGTATTTTAAAGGAAATTCTAGAGTGTTACATGGTAGGTCCCCCTCTTTTTATAACACTGACTGAGCTATAACACTGACCGAGTAACCCCTATAAAACTAATCGAATAACCCTTATAACTCTAACTGGATATTCCTTATAACATTAACGAAGTAACCCCCATGATGACCGGCCACACAGTGTACGTGTCCAACCACATATAAGAATGTGTCTTTCACAAAATATTTTCTTTTTTTTTTATTTTAAAAAATATTATTTTCTCGAGAATTTTTATTAGTTGTCAAAAATCTCTTTTTTTGACATTTGATAATGCATAATTTTAATTGTCAATTCCTTAATTATGTGTTTGAAAAAATACTTTAAAAAAGTAAATATTAATAAAGGACATATAGAGACAGATCCAACAAGATCTTATATAACTATTAATTTTATCTAAATTGTAAATCACGAAATGTATTTAAAATGGAGTGTGTGAATAGTGTACAAAAATGTTGTAAGTAAAGAAAAGAGCTGTCAACTATAAACTTTTAAAAAACATACGGAGTATTAGATTCTTAACATAAGTCTTATTCTAAAGCACTAGCACTATCCAGTATTCCTTTTGTCCCATTTTATTATTCACACATTATGATTTTTATGCTCAATTTTTTACAACTTTGGCTATAAAAATTACTATTATAAATATTAAAATCATATCACGTGAACATGTTTAGTTTGGCTTGGAATTTTTTTTATAATATCAATTTAATTGCAGAAATTTTAACTCATACCATATTGATTATATATATGTAGTCAAAGATGTGCATTGAAGACCTTGAACTTTAATTTAAAGTGTAACAAACTAAAAGGAATGGAGGGTGTAGCTTTTAGCGGTTGAGTTACATGTAGCGATTAGAGTAGTGGCGGATAACTGTTAATGAATACAAATAAAGTAATGGGTAGAGATTAGGTGTCACAGTAATGGTTATTAATATGAGTGTTTGATGATTTAACAAAAGATAGAGGGAGAGGGAGAGAAAGTAGCTTTTGAAATATTAAAAAAAAAAAAAAATAGGATTACAATTTTTTAAAAAGTTTTCACATTTTGACAATGTCGTCCCGCTACATTTGAAACTCTAATATTTTTAAAAAATAAAATAAAATAAAATAAAATAAAACTACCCAAACACTACTTTACCACTAATTGCTTCTTGAACCAATAACAATAAAAAGATAATGTTTAATAAAGAAAATTGACAAATTAAAATATAAGTTTAATGGATATAAAAAAAATGCACAGTCATAACCTATAAGATATCTACTGGCTGATCGGTTATGTGGTGATAATGCGTGTTTCGTTTTTGAAAATGCATAAAATAATATAAGAAAAAAATATATTTTAGATGTGTTTATAAATTTTAATCACACCATTTCAACCCTATTCCTGTGTTGGGTTCAAAATCCATCACCATCTTCACCCCGACAACGACGATTGGTAAAAATCCAAAATCATCCCTATCCCTCAAACCCCCCCCCCCCACCTGGACATTCATAACCACCTAATCCCCGCCTTCCCCAACCCACCACCCACCTAATCTCCGTCTCCAAAATATATAAATTACAAACAAATAAATACTATAAAATCACTTAACAACTCTAGTACAAATTAAAGTATTATATTTGCTATATTTTACTTGATATATTTGTAAAAAGTAAAAAAGTATGTATACCTTTAATATATTGTTTAATATTTATGGATGGGGGTATGGGACGGGTACAACTTCAAATATACCCCCACCCTATCATTCATGGCGGGTATAATTGTTATCCCTAGCCTTATCCCCACTCCACCACTCAGCGACGAGGATGGAGCGATGTCCTACTAGACCCACCCCACTGACATCTAGGGGTGAAAGTAATTGAAGTGAATTTATAAAAAAAATAATAATAATAATAATAATAATAAATAAATAAATTAATAAAATTGGACTAGATCAATTTGAAAAGTTAAAATTTATGGCCTATGATTTGGATTCGGTTTGAGATTTATTAAAAAAAAAAAAAAAAAAAAAAAAAAAAAAAAAAGTTTCGAAATAAAAACCGAATTTTAAACATAAGGCCAAATATATAGCCCATTATCATTTACTAAGCTTTGATGTTCCAATTGTTTAACTACAAATTATGGTTGTAATTTAAAACTTCTATGGTTACCTAGTTGGACAACTTTTATTTTTTTTTGCTGCCATTGGCTAATTCATAGGCCTAGTAAGATTTTTTAAAGACTTGTTATTTGCTAAGACATGACATTGTAAGCATTTGATGTTCAGGTGCAAATAGTGTTTTTTTTTTTTTTAAAAAAAAAATATACGGGTGAAAAATCAGATCCAAAATGTAGGTGAAAAATCTATCGCAAAATGCTAGGCCCAATCAGTTTGGTTTGGTTTATTTTTTAAAAATCAAGTTAGAAGTAGTTTAATTTGGATTGAATTGGATCAAATAATAATACAGTTTGAATTCGAATGAAAAATTCCAAACAAAATTAATATGATTTGGATTTGATTTGGGCTATAATCTAAACAGTAAACCAAACTCTTAACCCTAATAACATCCCTACACGTGGCTTCAGACTTAATCTAGTTGAAATGGAAAAAAGGGGTACATTTCCGAGTGCCACAAATAATTCTAACTTCCAAGTTTGTTATACTACTCCTTCCGTTTTTAAATACTTGCTCTATTTCACCATGTGCGGAGTTTTAGGAGAAATTGGAGAAAGTAATAAAATAGGGAAGTGTGGGGTAGGTGGAAGAATAAAAAATTGTTAAAAAACAAAATTAGTTGAGAGAATTAAAAGAGAGAGAATATGAAATTAATATAATATGATTTATATTGGGTCCACTAGTTGAGAGAAATGAATTAAATATTGTAAAAGCTTTCCAAATAATGAAATGGAGGAAGTATTTAAAAATGGCCGCAAATAAAAATTGGAGCAAGTATTTAAAAACGGAGGGAGTATTTCGTAAGAAAAAGTATAGTTTTGACAAGCACAAAAAGCAGTCCAATATATAAGCTTAGATGATATCTTGGGCTATTTAATGAGACACAAAATCAAGATATAGGGCGTATACGGTTTGATTTAGTGCGGTTTGCATACTACCCAAATCAAATCGTAAAAATACGGTTTGACATTTTTACAAACCAAACCAAATCAAATGAGTTTGGTGCGGTTCGATTTAAGGTTTGTCATTATTCTAATGCATTCTTGTTGATGGTATTTTTTTTTATTGTTAAATTAGTTTGTAGTATCAAAGTTTAACAAGGACAAATAAAAAATATTTGAAAATTAAAAATTAATATATTAGAAAAACAAATCACATACATCCATACCAACTCGTTATATATTATTAGAACTTTGTAATTAGTTTTAATTTTTAGAAAAATCAAGCCAAACCAAACCATAAATTGTGGTTTGTTATTATTTTTTTTAAACCAAACCGTAGTTCTTTAAATCGTAAACCAAATCAAATTGCTAAAATACAATTTAGTTTGTGATTTGGTGCTGTTTAGACCAAACTTTGTACACCTCCGATATTTTAGTAATTTTTGAATAAAAAAATATGGGAATTATTGAAAATATAATTAATAAATATGTAAAAATCATAAACATTTGATATTAAAATAACATGTCTTGAAATAAACCTAATAAGATATCACATGACTATATTTTTATTTAGCAAATTATCAAACCTAGTTAAAGTGGAGCATATAAATAGTATAAAGGTCAAACTGCTGATAGTTAAAAGAAAAAAAAAGTACAAATTATAAAAAGTTGATATTAAAAAATTAAATTAATTACTGAGAGGAATCCAGGAGAAAGAAAATGAAAACAAATACAAGCCACAAGATAGAAAACTTATTATCCAAGAGAAGAGAAAAAAGACCACACTAGAAAGTGAGGTGTAAGGAAAAAGTAAGAGATATTATTCAACAATGTCTTCTTCTACCTCATTTTCTTCTCCAGATACACTTGCTAATCGTACCAATGTCTTTGATAATGGAAGTTATCCCACTGCCCTTCTTAGAATCAAAGCAGAAAGCCATTTCAACAACACTAAGACAATCCCGCCACCGAAGCCGTTGTTGATCGGAACTCCGTCGTGTTTAAAGGGTGGCGAGTTCCCGGTGTTGCTGATGCTTCATGGATATGTTTTATACAACGATTTCTACTCACAGCTCATTCATCATGTTGCTTCTCATGGCTTTGTGGTTATTGCTCCACAGGTAACTTCTGTTTTCTTTATGCAAAATGTAATTTTTCTAAATAAACCAATTACATGGTGGGAGTACTCGTATTTGTTACAATATGCTAGTCATCTAGACTTTTGTTCACACTATAATATGCATTTATGCAAGAGAAATCTTAGCAACATATCTAGGAAACACATTAATTAATTTCTAAAACGCAACATACCCTTACAAAAATTGTAACTAGGAAATGAATGATTTAATATGCAAGTGGGATTAATAAATATATTTTTAGTTGTTGTGTAAGCGAAAAAGAGGGAGCCCCAGTTGATCTATTAGATCAACAAATTTTGTCAATCTATGCTTAGTCACTGCTTAGTCATCAAAATAGACATTAATATTCCATTGAAGCTTCAACCTTCCTTCCCCGACACCTCCCACTTCCTTCCACCGACACCACCAATTCCACCATGCCGACACCATCTGCATCACCTCCTCCTTCCACCGACACCATCTGCATTGTCTCCACCTTTCACCGAAACCATCATCTTCTACCAACGACATCATGGCGACTTTGCCGCCAAATTAAACGAAACTCCTATGTTAAAAAGGTAAAATTAAGGGCATGGTTAACCCTAAAGGGAAGGGGTGCTATCCTCCTCCATTAATGCTACCCTTGGAGCTTCAATTTCTTTCAGAAAATTTCGAAAATCGCCATCCATTTATAAAATAAAATAAAAAATTTAAAAAAAGGATGTCGTACCGTGCTCACCACCGATGCCTTCTTGCTAGTGGTTGTCGACAACAGGGGTGTCATAGTGGTGGTGATTGTGGTCGCTGCCTTAGGCCATGAGGCTTGGTGTTTATGGTGGTAAGTTTGCCGTTCAACTAGAAGATGGAGATGGTGATTTGGCAATGGTGATTTGGCAATATTGCCTAATCATGCTTATGCTTTTACCAAATTGTCCTATACTAAATGAAGGAAAAACCAAAAATGTCCTTATGATTGACAATTTTTATTGATCTAGTAGATCAACTTGTATTTTCTCAGCGAAAAACATTACCTAATTACTTAATTACTTTAATGAAATTGGTAGAAGGGTGAAACAACAAAAGTGTAGCAAATGTTCAAAAATCGAACAAAAGTGACAAATGTTGTAAGTAGTCAAGAGTGGCGTTTCTTGAATTTACCTTTTTCGTTTGCATATCCAATAAGAGTACCAATTACCATCACATGTACGAAGTATTAAATTCATTACGACTTTATTATTAAAATTGTAATGAAAATTGAAATTGTTTATATTTGTGTTCGTATCTAGTATAACTTGAACTTATTATTATGAAAATATTCTTTATAACTTTTCAGCAACTAAAAAGGAGTAAAAAGCTCATCCAACAAAAAAAAAATTATTACGTTCATAACATAGGTTTGCACATAAAACTAATATTTGCAATTGCTACAACCATTTCAAACTAATATTTCGATCTATTTTTATGAATAATGTTCTTCAATATCTGATTCTATACTAATCAACCAAAGATCCAATTACAAACAAGATGATCTAACAATTAACACAAGGTGTACATAAAAACACTTGAAATTTAAGAAGAAATGAAAGCTAGATTTAACATACTAGTTATAATGGCCCTTGTATTAAGCCTTTATAAATGGTGCTAATTAGAGCAAATTTGAATATAACATTGTAAACAGACGTACGCAAAAGTAATAGACCCGAATATCATATAACAATTTTATGATTTCATAAACTTCATCATTAATTGTACAACAACATTTTTATTTGGTAGAGACTTACTCACACCTATATAACTCATTTCTAATTTGTTAGAGCTCAAGTCTCTCACTACCTAGGTGACTACTTCCCTCACCATGTTCAATAGGAGCACTTAGCTTACGCAAACTTTGGTGAAATACTTTTGACTCCACACTAAAATACATGGTGATATCACATATTTATAGGAGTTATATATATTAATTTAGATTGTTTTATATATTTCATAAAAAGTAAGGTAATGGTAATTATACAAGATTCACAACTTTATTTACTCTTGCACAAATTCTAATATATACCTGGCATCCATCCTGAGGAAGCCCCAATTCCTCATAATGGCATTTTGAAAAATAATGTAATGTTTTTCAATAGTGGAGACCGCCTATATGTCACGAGTGGAACTCTGTGAGCTTGACATATACCCCATGAGGAACAAAACTTTTTCCTCGTAATGAGGAACAGCCCATCCTGATTCATTCATATTTGTTCACAACTATAGCTATACTCCGTTGCTGGACCAGATTCAAGAGATGAAATAGAAGCCACAGCTGCTGTTATAAACTGGTTATCAGAAGGCTTAAAAGACGTACTTCCATCGAATGTACAACCAAACTTACACAAGCTAGCACTTTCTGGCCATAGTCGCGGAGGCAAGGTAGCATTTGCACTAGCATTAAACAAAATAACAGCATCTCCTCTCAAAATATCAGCTTTGATTGGCATAGACCCAGTTGATGGGATGGGAAAAGGAAACCAAACACCGCCTCCAGTTTTAACATACGTACCACAATCTTTTGACCTTAATGGAATGCCTGTGCTTGTGATTGGTTCGGGTTTTGGTGAAATCAAGAAGAACCCTTTGTTCCCTCCTTGTGCTCCGAAAGGAGTAAACCATGAGAATTTTTTCGAGGAATGTCAAAGTCCTGCTTGGTATTTTCTTGTGAAAGACTATGGTCATCTCGACGTGCTAGATGATGATACTAAGGGAGTCAGGGGAATTACTACTTATTGCTTGTGTAAAAACGGGAAATGTAGAGAGCCTATGAGAAAGTTTGTTGGAGGGGTGATTGTTGCCTTTTTAGATGCTTACATACAAGGAGATGATACCAAGCTTAATTCTATTAGAGACCACGATGAAACTGTCCCTGTGGTTTTTGACAAGGTTGATGTTCGTAATTTTTAAGCCCGTGTGATGTATGGATTGTATAATACTCGTATTATATTGTTTATGAATTAGCTTGTAAGATATTTTATATCTTTAGATATCCTTTATTTGCTTTGGTGTAAATAGAATACAGACTAAGAGGGCGTTTGGTTAGTGTTTGGATTGAAAACGAGTTCGATTATATCGATACCGTTATCGTGTGTTTGGTTTGAAGGCATGGTAACAATTATCATTACCTAAGGGTAATGGTTACCCCTCATTTGTTACTTCTCAAAAACGTGGGGTAACAAATACCCTTACCCTCCTCTTAACAAATACCTTTTTAATGGTTAAACCAAACAAATGAAAAGATAATAGCTAAATGATTTATTTCCCCCCTCTTATTTGTTTCATTTCCACTCTCTTTTCATTTTTCGAACCAGACGCCCCCTAAATCTTATATGGAAGGCTAAGGCCTTATCTTGCAAGTGCAGAATGTGAGGGTCAAAAGCTTCACTTTGCCTTGCTATCTCAATTACTACAGGAAGACTGAATATGAATTTAGCTAGAATTCTGAAAGCAATAGTTGAGTTTTTTTTTAAGTTCAAAGTCAGATTTTTATGTCAACTGAAATCATGTTGTATTAATGAGGTGAAAGTAATGTTAAAAAATCAATTAAATTCTAATATAATAAGAAATGAAGGTTTTATTTATAAGGTCGAACCTTTAAAATTTATGTACAACGCTAACCTTTAACAATACTAGGTGATAGCTACACAAAGGTAAAAAGCAAATAGCCACGTCTTATTTTGCCCAACAAGGCCTAGCTAAATTGTTGCCAAGAACAAGCAAAATTTTAGTGTAGAATTATTAAAGCCACTAATTAATTTTTCTCTGCTGAATTTGTAACTTGTTATAATACCAAATAGCCTATAACTATTAGTCTATTACTATTACATAGTTACACTTCCACAATAAGAAAAAGGTGTGAAAAATTTGATGGAATTACCCTTTTTTTTTTCCTAACACAAAGAATAAAGGCAATCATTTATTAATTTGTTACTTCTTTCGTATCACAAATATTGTAACAATTATCAATTTTTTTTTTTTTTTTTTTTAAGGAAATGCAACAATTATCATTTTGAGAAGTTTTACATTACAACATTTCCCTATTTGCGCATATTTTCTCTCCTCATCATATGTGTCTCTATCTTCATTTCTCTTTTACCACTCTTCTCATCTTAAAATCGGTGTCCATTCATCCCTATGTTGCAATATTTGAAAAACGAAGGAAGTGCACTGACCGAAAATGTGAAATAGAATACTTTCTCAAAAAAAGAAAATGTGAAATAGAATATATGCATTTTAATTCCATTTTAGTTTGTTATTTAAACTGTTTGAAAAACACCTATTTTCAAAAGAAAAATTAAACTGTGCTATGAAAGCTTAGTAAAGAAACTGCAATATAATAATAGTAGTAAGAAATTGCAGAAAAATTACATTGTTACCTTCAAATACACATAATCAAGTCCTAGGAAATTTTGTAATGTATATGATGTTGTCGATAGTCTTCGAGTGAGATGGTCAGAATTGGACACACTTCATGTAACAACTGTCAAGGGATGTAGGGCAGGAATCATCATTTTTTCTGCAGACAATATTTTCATTTTGATCAAGTTTCATTCATAGGTAGTTGTCATCGGTCTTCTAAATTTAGATGAACATCGTGACAAATTTTACTTCTTTACATAGCATGTGTGTGTGCATAATGCATATCATACAAATAATTGTTTATTCTTTTCCTTTAGAAATTCCATAATTCACACTAATGAAATATTCCATTAGAATTCTATGGAATGGTATATGTTTAGGGTAAAAATTACCCATGACAAATGGACCAATCCGGACCTGCCACGTGTCCACCACGTGGGCCAATCAGCGTCCGCCACTTGTCACCCTAAGAGGTCCAACATGGACTAATCAGGCCACGCCACGTGGCCTCCCATATGCCAAATAGGCAAAAATGGCCACCAAGGCCCAAAGTCCGAGAGAAGCCCAATTTGCCCCGGTTAACCTAAACCTAGGATTGGCACGCTTCTCAAGACTATAAATACTTAATTAATCCTCATTAAAGGGGATGCAGCAATTGATAACTCTCACCTAGAGAAGTCTAAACACATTGATCACTCCTCCCCTAGAGGAACCAGATCTCCCACCTTTACTTTCCGCATCTATTACTCCTCAAACAAGTACTAACTTGATCGTTGGAGGCGGAGCTCCCACCACAAGAAGTCTCCGTTGTTTTGCAGGTACAGGCGTCCGGTTCCAGTCTCGGAATTGTAACTCTCCCGCAGGACATCAGAAAACCCCAAAACATTTGGCGCCGTCTGTGGGGAGAGTACTTCTGAGATGGCATCCACGTCTGTACCGACTCCTGAAGAGAGGCGTCCCCTAGACGACCCTCAAGTTCAGTCGGACCATGATACTGAGGAAGAATTTAAAGTTGAAGCTCACACAGCTTCAGACGGGACCCTAAGGGCCCGGCGCACCCGTCCTACCGAAAGGAGGGAACGAGAGGCTGGTCCCAGTCGGCCAGCCGGCCCACCGCCTGAGACTCAGCAGGCGGCCGAAGGATCTGCTCCTATTACTAGGACAGAACTCATGACTCTCATGAGTACTTTCAAGGGAAAGATCCAAGAGCTTGTCAATAAAAAGGCGACTGCTCCACCAAAGGAACAGTCGGCTAGATCAAACAACTCCCAGTTGAAGTTACATGCGCCTCGCATGAAACTACTGGGTACAACCGGCAATATACCAGCCTCCGAGCATCCGGCCAGGCGGCCAACTACTGCAGGCGTCATACGGCCGAATGCAAAGAGTCAGACGGTCAAGCTTCTCCACCTAAGAGCCTTAGGTGGCAACCTACTACAAAGTTAATCTTAGCATTTGATATTATCAAGTGGCATAAGTAGTGTCATAACTACCAGCCCACATCGCTATATACATAGCCGGCTCCCATGATGCTTGTCACGAACAGCTTCCTCGGTCGGTTGTTCTACATGTCTAGGAAGCCTGCTGTTTTTTCCTTCGATAAAGGCCCGACTGTGAGTGCAGTAGTGGCACGCCAACGTCGAGCCTTTGAGCTTTTAGGCGGCAACCATAAGAGCAACCCTCATTCTCGCATAAACAGCCGGCTCTATATGATGTTTTATCAAGGTACAGTCGCAAGGTTTTTTCTCAAAATATAATGCCAAGTATACTTGATACAAATGAGTTTGGTTCCAGCTTGTTCTTCCAAAAGAAAACAGCCAAAATACTCGCACATATAAAAATCTCTCGGCCTGCCGAGAGGAGTAGCGCTTGGCTCGTAGTAATATAATTGGCCATGAGAGTGAATGCTTTAACTTGTTCATGTGCTAGTCTCTTATTGTGAAAGCTGGGCGTTGGCGTCTCGCCCAAGGAAGCAGGCGGCCAGATGACAGCCGGCCTAGTCCTAGCCACGAAGCATGACAAATCAGCTAGCCATGCTAATGTAGGCGACACCTAAACAGCCAGCCCAATCCGAGCCACCAAACAGCCGGATTGATCACTTCAAGAACAAGCAACTCAAAAGGCCGAGACGAATGAGTTCGTGAGTATGTAAAAAATAGGCAGCTAGGCAGCTGTATTTATGTATGGGAAGCATTGAAACCGGCTGTTTAGCCATCAAGTAAATCCAACAAACCACTTGTCTTTCATGAAAGCAGGCGGCATCCACAGCGAACGCATCAAGCAATGCGTGAGGTGATATGGGTCTTCATGTTTTGTAATGAGGGTCGAGTCTTGAATCACTTTCGTCTAAATAATGCCCAACACGATCAAAGCATAATTAAAACAAGCGGCAAGCTGATCATACGACATCATGTGGCCGAATAAAATTTTGAAAGTTAGCTCCATTGAGAAGAGCAGCTCGGCATCCTTACCAAAGCACCATGTAAGCTCAAAATGAGTGCCTTTTGAAATTTCATAGTATCATGGGTAAACATCAAGAATCAAACGACACATTGCTATTGTTTGTAAAGAAACAGCCACCATGTGTATGCACGCAACAGCAAGTCCCTTGTATGTCTATAGACAGCCGGCCTAGTCCTAGCAACACAGCAAGGAGGCGGGTCTAAAACACATCCGGCTTGGCTGAGTTCAGATGGTCGAAGCATTCGAGAGCAGGCGGCATCTAGGTGTCGTAGCTCAAGCTAGCAGGGGGCACTTGCAACCAAAGAAGCTAGCCATAGTAAAACATGCGGCACATGAAACACAATTATCGTGCTAAGTTCAAATCCCATGCTGAGATTTGACGTTGATGCTGGGTACGAGTACATGCCAAGTAGATGCTAAGCTATCCATTCGTCCAACCAAGTGTGTATCCATGTGTTTGAAGAGCCGCATGACGTGATCATCCAAGCCAAATTTATGAGCCCAAGAGTATATAACTCAACTTGCTAAGTTAGGGAATCCTCATTGCTCTTATTTCAGCCGGCATTCAGTGCTCGGACGCTCAATAAAATCAAATAGTCGGCCACCCTTGTTAATGAAAACAGGAGGCCACAAGTGCTCTTCAAGACTCAAGCCCAGTCCCAGCTAGACTCACCTTAAACAACCGGCACTTGGTTGAAAGGGCATGAGCAAAAGTGGGTCTTCATACTTTTTAAATAGGGGCCGAGTCTTATGATCATTTTTGTCTAAATAATGCCAAGCACGTAAATAGCATGCAACCGACATCATGCGCTAGTCACCTAGCTTCAGCCGGCATGTCCACTTCGATGGCACCTTCATTGGTCCTCACAAATAGGCTAGCAGGCGGCAGCTCAAACTCCAACCGGCACATCACGGCAGAACCAGCCGGCCTTTGAAATCATTGACAAAGTACAAGGTGGAGCATGGGCACCTATGATTAAAGCATCCGACAGTAGCACAAGCAAGGGGCGAAAGCCGTATGTTTGATAGACTCCTTGCTGAGTGGAAAACTGAAGATGAATTAGAAACACAAGCGGCATAATAAGCCACCTGTGAATATGCAAGCTATACAAGTGGCTCGGCAATCGACATCATACAACAGGCGGCATGCAAAGCGTCGTAGTTCAAGCAGCCGGCCTCAAAACCCAAAGAGTAGTCGATTGCTTGTTCATTGCAAGCATGTGTGGGGCTTGACGCCTTGCATATCGTATAAAACCT